CTTCATTTTTTCAGATCATTTGCCAGTTTATCCAGGTATCTCCAACGTGCTCACCATTCCAAGGTGTGCTATCCGAACCATTTGCTGAGTTTACCATATAGATAGCTGTAAATCCAGCTGCTTGATATTATCAATGGGGAAAAAGGCTGGGGACTTAAATCACATTAGAGACAGAATCTCATTTTTCTGGGCCAGGAGACCAGGACACCTTTGAACGAGAAAGGGCTGTTTCATTAGCAATGTCTTAGTATGTAGGCACTGAATCAAATCACCTTAATGCAAGTACCTGAACATGGCAGGGGTAATGATGTGGTTTAGCATCTTGCACCAAGAATATCCAGTTTTACATGAATTAACAATTTATGCTGAGGAGCTTTGGAAAGAAGGGGATGAGGGAGAATTCACACGATCAGGCTCCATAGCTACTATGCCAGAGCCAGCCATGTTGCTTTAACACTGTAAGTACCATTTTTACCAGGCTGGAGGGAAAAATAGAATAAAATTTTTAAAATCAAGATGCTGATTTATGACCTCTTGAAGGTAGGAAGCTGGACATTAAATAAGACAATGCCTTAAGCTTAAAATCTCTCCTCTCTCTTACGTGACCCTTTAATCACCTGATCTCTGCATGGCAGAAGTTATATGAGATGTTCTGGTTAAACTAGACAGCAAGAGCTGAAGTTTTATTCAGATTTCCCCCTGCTATTTCTGTAGGGCTCCTACACAGGTCTGTAAGAGCCAAGGAGAGCAAGAGTTGCCAGTTCTGGGTAAAGCTGCCAGCACTCCCTGCCCTGGGAGCTCTCTCCCCCATATGCCACCATCACACAGCGCCATAGAATGACTCGCCTCAGCTGGTCAATTAAGAAAGCAAAGTGCCTGCCAGGCAAGAGCCTCTGCACATGGGCAGAGAGCACAAGCGTGTTAGAGTAAAATGTTTTGGGAAGCCTTGAGCCTGTCTTCCCAGCAGCCTGCCCAGGGCTCAGCACCCCTTCCTGGGATTCCAAAGAAAACCTAACAGTGTTGGATTTTCACTGCACAGCACACAGGCCACCCGTGGGGAAGCATGAAAGCAGCAGGCTGATGCTTCCACTGCTCCTCAGAGCTGCACCAGGTAAAGCCATGGAAAGACTGAATTTCAACAAATCAATAAATTAAAGGCCAGGATGCCAAAGAGAAAACTGTGAAAAAGAGGTCCCTGGTGATATTAAATATAAGGATATTACCTCTAGCTCTGGAAACCTCTGGGCCACAGTTTGCAGGGAGGATGTACCAAGGGAAATATTCCTGCCTGTTTCCTGCAGCAGTTGCTGTGAGCTGCAGGGGACTGGAGGGGCAGCTGTGGGAAGCCATGACCCCAAAAGGCTGCAAAGGAATATACTGAGCTAATTATGAAAGGTAGCAAACTCAAGAGTTCAGCAAATATGAATGGCTGGAGCTGGCCATCACAGCTAGTAGAGGTTGTCTCAACAAAAAAAGCAGCATCTAAATAAATGTGGGGAAAATCACTGCAGGACATACAGTCCTTCAGAAGACAGACCCGAGATCACAGAGACAACTCTACTCAGTGGGACTGGAAAGCAGCCACCATGAGATTGACACATGCTGGGCCACCTCACCTTGCAGGAGCCAACACAGGGACAGAGCTGCCACTGAACCAGACTGCTTTGTGACAGCCTTCCATCCACATCAGAAAAAAGGAAAAAGCATCGTCCTGTTTGCCTGGCAGCGTTAGTCTCATGGAGAGCACTGCACTGTGTTATCCAAACAATGCAGTTGTAGGTCACATGCAGTGCAAGCAATGAAAGTGGAAGCGGAGGTGGAGAGAACTTTTTCTTCATAGACCATTTGGCCATCATTAACAGCACCAGCTGTGCCTCGCTGCAGTGCCTATCCAGGCTTAAAATGAAGCAGGACAAATTTCAGTAGAGCAACTGGTGCCAGCAGCCTGGCCAGAGCTGGGGGGCACTTATCCCGCCTATTCAGCGATGGTGGTCTCCTCATCTCCCTGCAAGCCTAGTGCTCAGACCTTCTGCACCCTGGCAGTGACAGCTCTCACCCTTAAGCAGTTCAAATTCCTGCCCAGCAACATCTTTGACAATGAACCACCAATTTAAGTACCAGACACTGGAGTAGGGCTTGTCCTGCTGGTGCCTGTTGATCTCACCCAAGCTGGTTATGTGTTCTGACTAGTCAGCTCGTCACCTTTACACCCAATGCATTAACAGTTAATGGCTGGCAGATACATCACTGACAATCCACATGCATTTTAACATTTTGTGACCTAATCAAGAAGAACTCCGGTTGCTCTGAATAGAATAAAGATGTTCAAACAGCGTCCAGGGGAATATCTTCAAAGGGGTGAACATCTTTACATATCTGCACAGCACGTCCAACCAAAGTGACCACTCATCCACAAGCAATGCTCCCCATGAGCATTACATTATGGGGTACCTGACTCCCAGGAGGGTACATCTGCATGGACAGCAGCTCCATGGAGAGGCTTTGGGTGCCCAGTGTGGCTGATGGACACCTCAAGGTTAGATCTGGGGTATTAATCTCTGCTGCTTTGCTCAACTCCAGACTCCCTCTGGTTGAATGAGCTGGACAAGAAAATGCTTTTCAGTGTCACACTGTACCTGAGCCACTCATGGTCTTCCTGTCCACATGCAGGACAGCAGTCCTGCTTGTTATCCGTATGGATTGCTTGCTCGAGCCTTACAAAGGGAGGAACATTCAGGGAGAAGACAATGGAGGAGCTGGGCAGGTTTTTCCCAGGTTGAGGGGCAGAGGTAAGAACAACAGATTTGCTCTTGCTGATGGAAGGAACTTATTTGACCTTTACCTGTTATTCATGTTAAAACACTGAAGGAATGTTTGGTCGTTATTAATAACAGACTACAAGGTTGCAAAACCAGGATGTTTGGATGGGTTTCAATAACAGCAAGGGAACTGGTCAGTAAACGTCACCTGCTTTCCAAAGGGACATCTGTCTTCTCAGAAACCCATCACCAGAGCAGATCAAGCAGATCCACAGGCTCATCATTTCCCAATTATCACCCACACCACAAAAAAAAACAGATTCATGTCTTGCCACTGTCACCTACGAAATACACCAAGAGAGCTGTCACTGTGGGGAGAGCTGCACTAAAGTTTAACCCCCACAACCTTGTGATGTGGTAAAACTACCAAAATGACAGCTTTGTCCTCCTGGATGGGTTGAAAAGACATGTCTGCCTGTTCCTGACAGGCAGCAGCACCGTCCTTCCCACTGCAGTGAGTGGGAAATACCAGAGCTCCAAGAGCAACTTCTGAGGTGCTCTACTCGCCCACCTTAGAAAAACCTGAATATTGGCACAACAGCCAAGACAAGATTTTGTACTTTGAGTTCCAATTCCTCAGCCCCATTGCAGCTATTCTAAACCTAATTGGAATAAAAACAAAAACACAGAATCATTTGGCATAACTCAAAAAGCAGTCATTGAAAATAACTACATCAAGACCACCATGTTAAAGTGCGTCTTTTCAAGCTTTTCTCAGGAGAGTATCATTTGTTATTGAAAAGGAAAAAAAAATCACTACTTTTGATTTCAGATGCCCTACACAGTGACTGGCCTGGAAACTGGAACGAAGGTCTGGCAGGAGGGAGGCTAAACAGGGTCTTAGCAAGGAGCAGTTTCACAGGTCAAAGCTTGGAGTGGGGTTTTCAACTTCAAAGTGAGGTGGGAATAGCTAAGCACAGATTTTAGCCCAATATCTACAAACAGCAAAGACACTGACAATTGTACTCCAAACCCCCCACCAGAGAGCAAGTGGCAGGTTAACACTTCATTACAAGCTGGCAACCCCAGCACTCAGCTCCATGTGGACAGGCACAACAGCCAGCAGAAAGCAGAGGCAGCATCTAATATTTCATCAAACAAAACCTCCTGGTCTCCAATTATGCAACAATTAAGTGCTCAGGAGGCTGTGAAATATGACAGTCTGTGTGTCAAGAGCAGAAATTCATTTTCTTCTGTAAGCAGCACTTGGGAGTGTTCTCTCCCCATCGCCAGCATTCCCCTTCCACCACACAACTGCTCACATCCAAGCAACAAATTTCAGCGTCTTATAACTGAGTCAGTTGTTAGAATCGAATGCCCACGTTAACAGGGCATTTACTGCTTACATGGCAGCCAGCTCACAGCAGTCTTCACTGTCTTTCCTAGGGGCAGTGATCCCACGCGTCTGTAAGCTCCTGCAGAAATCAGGTAAATCCCTTTGAAATCTGCCAGGGAAAAAACGAACTCTCCCCTGTGCTCCTTTGCTCCCACATGTCCCTCTGCAAACACACAGTTTTAATACATATTTCATTTTCTTCTTGTACAACAGGGACTAGCTAGAGACTAGCTCTTGGGATTTTAGCTAGGTGCTAAAATTAAATTGCTTTTCAGGATGGAGAGAGATCCTGGGATTGGACCCATTGCCTCTTTTTCCCATAACTGTTACCTCACAGAAAAGCAGCTCCTTTCAGGATCCCAAGTCATATAACCTCCACATTACTCCCCACCTAAGGGAAAGACTAGACTCAGCAAAGTTATTCAGCTTTCTACAGGCACATACTGTGAAAACACAGATCAATACATGTTACTCCTCAATGCATGTATCCAGTCCTTCAGGAGCCAAACTACTAATACTCACAGATTAGGTTCATTTTGCAAAGCTATTCCAAGAGGTGGATTGTCACTTATCACTTAGTTGTGATTTATTTTTATGCCCTTTTTTTTGTGAAATTGCCCCAAATCTGGTGAATCTCACTGTGCTGACTTGAACACTAGTATCACATCTGCTCTAAGAATATCTCAGACAAAGAAATAATAAATGTTTTCTGATGCTTAGACCCTATCAACATCAGGCCCAGTAAGCTGAAAGACATTTAAATAGTTAGAGGTCACTATCAGGAAAAACAGTAATAGTGACAAAAGTTCAATCAAGAAATATGAAATAGGAATATACAGACTTACCATTTTTGTCAGCTCTTCTGAAAATCTAGAATTGAAAGAGAGAGAGAAACACTTTTATTACATTGTTTGAGAGGGTGAAGGCTTTAGCACTGGGACCATGTTCAATCCCACACACAGGGCAGGACAACACACTCTAGCCCCTTCAGCCAATTCAGTTGTTTTACTGAGCTCACCCTTCCCAGGTTACAGCCTATCACCCCCAGACCCACATGATGGACAGCCACTCCTGGAGTAGAGTATTGACACGGTTGCCTTTGGAATAACTGGTAGAAAATGGGTTAGCTAGCAAAATAAACACAAAATACTTCCAGCAGTTCCACCATCTCCTACCTCTCTTGCAGAAGAAAGACAAAAACACGGACCCAGCACATGAAAAATACCCATTAAAAAAAATGTAACAGCTGTGCAGCATGCCCAGCCAATTTCTCTAGCATCAATAATATCTCTTAAAGCAGGTTTCACAGTTCTGCACTTCTAAAACTATTTACAATATTCTTTTTAAGAAAAGCACATTTCCTCTGTGGGGAAAAGATTGTATTTAGACTTAAAACTACAGTGTGGAGGAGCAGCCCACAGAGAGGAATCACATAGCCCTTTCAGAAGAAAAAAGAATTGCAGTAATGTGTAGTATGGCTGAATTTGTGAGGGAAAAACAGCAGAAACAACTGCTATGTCTTTGACTAGTCTCATTTTAGAAATAGACACCTGACAATGCAATTAATAGCAAAAGGCTTGTGCAAAGGTTGCAATCTTATAGGTTCCTGCAAAAAATAGCTGCTGGCACAGGTTTGGCCATAAATTACCAAAAAATTAACATGCTCAAACTGGGCAGAAAAGGAAAACGTTGTCATCATTTCTTCAGACCTGACCTTATTAATTTGATCAAAAGCAGAGATTTTGACTGTACAAAGACATTTCCCTGCAGAGGGAAAAAAAGCACCATCAGGACGGATCACAGTCAGCCCTAAAATGGAATCTCTTCTTTTCTGGGTCATAAAATCATTTTAAAAAAGAGAAAAATATCAGAAGAGAAACTGCTGCACAAAAAAGGAATCCCAAGAGACAAACTGAATTGCAGAATATTCTATTTAAGAGAACATACCTTAGTTAAGGAAGAATAATCATTCTTTTGCCCAAAGTTCCTCTTTAGCTGCACAGGGAAAAGTCAAAGGTGGACTTTCTGGTGTACTTCAGCAGAGGAAAACACCTTCTGGTGAAGCCAGATCTAAACGGTGGGAGCCACCAAGTCCCAGCTTCAAGAGAGGGTCATAACCCTACAAGGATTACAGCTTATGACCTCCCCAAAACTCCTTACTTCTTGGACTGACCTTTATTTTTTTTAGATTAATTAGAAGCTTTGAGGGGAAATCCTACCATCCTTATGGACTTCACTGAGGTTAAATATGGGGTTTGAAGAGCCAGACAGTCACAGCTTGTTTATGGGAAGAAAGAATAAAGCCAGGCAAGACAAGCAGGAACCCCAGCAGGCCCCCAGGCTTTGGCACACGTCAGTCAGCCACGCACAACACGCACTGCCCAGAGTACAAAATACTTGTTTTTTTCTGGCTTAGACACTCCAACTCCTCACACTTGCACTAGCATCTCCAGATGAGGCACTTTTCTTTCTATATGCTGTTTATTTCTGGATTTGTTTCATCACCACATACTCGCATTACTATTCCCACTGCTTTGAAATAAAGACATTACATCAAGTCCAATGCAGAAGCAGCAAAGTCTATTGTAAGAAGAATGGGAAGGCAAAAACAATAAGTAAAACATAGCTTAAAGTGGGAAAAATATGCAGTGCTCTGCTCTGTGGAGCCACCAACCTTGCCATGAACAGTAGAAGCAAGAGGGGAAAAAAAAAAAAAAAAAGAAAAAAGAAAAAAATGTTCATCTTCACTAAGAGAACCTTTCAGGGCTTTAGATCCCCCAGATACTCCTAGAAAGTATGATTATTTGTAAACAAGCACATTGACAGAAGATCACATCAGCTGTATTACCTACTAAGGTTTATTCTACAGGACTATGCTGTTTAGTTTTTATTGCTAATGAGCAAGCTTTATTCTTCCAGCTTAACTGAACCACCTAAAATCTGCACACACACAAAAATATTCAAAACAGGACACCTGGAGGGAAAGCAGTTTAAGACAAAGATGTCTGTCATCACAGGCAGGCAGTACATCAAGGTATGAGCACTGGAATGAGCATCAGGAGGCTGATAAAGACAGAATATACTCTGTGATAGCTTGGTAATGCTGCCAGAAACACTGCTTCTGTGAAGACCCAGGATTCATGCTCTGTTTCAGCAAACAAAGAGTGCCCTCCCACACACACCTGAAGATGCTCTCTGTTCCTGTCTTGAATTAGTTGTTCCACTGTGGGAAGGGTGTGATGTGCTTTCAGTAAGGGAAAAATCTGGTGATGGAAGGGAAAATGCAGCCCCTCATGCCTCTCCTATGGCCCAGCAAGGCAAGGCCCCGATGGCAGCTCAGTGCCAGGTTCCAAGGGTGTTCAGGGGAAGGAATGCTCTAACCAGTTCCAGGAAGAAGGAAATATAAGCAGGTATGCTGTGTCATCTCCAACATATACACTGCAAAGCCAGTCATCCCTGCAGTCACTCTCTGCAGGCCTGCAGTAACTCCATCACTGCTATTCTCACTCAGCAGTGAAGTTGCTTAGACTTAGCCAAGGCAGCAGCTCTGGAGGTCAGCAAGAGTGGAGACTATGAAATATTGGTAGAGAAACATCCTGTCCTGCTACACCCTTGGCAGCAATTGGCTTCACATGCCTCCACACCAGACAAGGACCATCCCCAACATGGAACAGGAGCTGGCAGCACCTCACAGCCTGACCAGGGATGCTCTTTCCGCCCCATCACCCACAGTTCTCCAAACATCAGGGCTTTCAGATGGTAAATGAGAAATTATCCAGTCCAAAAAGTACTAGAGCAACCATCTCCCGCATGAGCTACATTCTAAACCTATTAAGCAAGGCTCCTGAAGCACAAGCTAAGTTGCATGGTGAGCCCATAGGATGCCCACAATATGGGCCAGATTAACTTATTTTATAGGCTTTACACAGACATGTAGTTTGCTCTCTGCAGCTTACTTATTCCATTTACTGTGTTTAGATGACTATAAACTGTTTTATTTAAAGTGAGGAACATCTGTCAAGATTTCCAGTGACTTTTAAAATACACATTTTTGCTGTACTCTCAAAGGGCTACTACAGATGTTGGCTGGCAAAAGTAAGCAATTCAAAACACTAGTGGTTAATAATGAACTTAAAAAAAAACCAATGCTTTCAATTTAAACATTCAGTTCTGCCTTTTCAAAGCTCCTGGATGAGAATGTGCAACACTAGAGGCTGCTTAATGGAGGTTTTCTTAGGAATTTTATTAAATTTTATTAAAGGTGGAGCTGAGACAAGTTTTTGTATCAGGTATAGCCTTTACCTCTCTAGCTCGAGGTACTGGTAGGAATGTATCCTACAGCCTCTCTATGTTGCTCTTTCAAGTAATAACCCAAGAATGTAATGACCTGAATCTTTTCCACTTTGGACAACATCTTTTGGCATCATCAGGCTAGCGAGCTTTGCCCATGCAAGGCGAAAGTTTTGATTTGGGTGTTTCAGAAATATGCCATTGGGGTGCAAATAATATTGTCCTTTGTGGAGCAGCTTCCCTGCCAAAGAAAGGCTGCTACAGACCTCCAGGTCTCCTGGCTCTTTCTGCCGCTCCAAGAGAAGGGCAGTTAACACCATGTCTTAGCCTCTCTTTACCTTGTACCTTTCTCCTTAGACTTTACCTGGCTGTTCTAAATAAAAGTTGCGTGAGACAGGCAAGAGTTGCATTTGCTGTTACCACCTACACAGCACTAGAAGTTACTTTTCCATTAACATTGTCCCTGGATCCAGCTCCATTTCAAGCATCCATTTACAAAGACCTGAAGAGCAGAAAAGAAAGGCTGGACTCTTCTGTGCCATTATGTACCTTGCCATGAGCAATCCCTGAATGCACAAAGCACAGCCCTGCTCTGCCCCTGTTTTGCAGCCATGCCCTGCTGGCATGGCTCAAGAGGATGATTTCAAACCATGGATTTCACATAAGAGTAATGAAGGAGGAGGAAGATAGCCTTCCCTATTCACTTGGAGAAGTGAGAAGGTAAATAAGGATACAAGAAGAGGAGGGAATCAACCTTAAAAAAAATCCAAAAAAGCAGAAAAACAGCTACCAACCAACACACAAAAAACAACAGAATAATAAACATCAAAGCAGAAAAGAAGGGATTTTGTTGCTGCAGTAGCTTTGCAGCACTGGAAATTGTGTTATTCACAAAGCAGTTGGAAAACTCTGCCAATTCTTGGGTCTACATTTGGAAATGCACTCTTGGCACAAGCCAAATTCTCTGTATCTTCTATCCAAACACCTCAGTCAGTCCCATGGGGTTGAAGAAGTGTAAATCAGATCTGGCAGGTAAGCAGGCATGCAACAGCAGCCATTAGCAAGAGAGATGGATTTGAAATGATCTTTCTGACCCTATTGAAGAAGGAAACAGGCAGATAAGGGTCAAAATTAGTTTTCAGGAAAAGACAGTGCAGATCAAACAAAAAGCTTCATCTGACCTGAAATGAATAGCACTGCTTTCTTCAGGAACATTTAAAATAACGCCAAAAAGCAATGCATTTAGTCACCATCAGCAAAGCTAGAGAGGAGGCAGGGATGCCAGTACCCCTTGGAGTACACAGTCTTGCCACAGGGATGCTCACTTATATCCAAGGCTGACCCTTATATTTTAGATGACAAGTAGGAGATGAGTGCTTCCAACAGGCTCTCCCTGGTGTAAACCAGATGGGGCATCTTTGTCTGCAACCACTGTGACTGACCAGGTCTTAACGTGCACTGGAGTTCACACTCCTAACAACAATGTAGATTTTTGATAGTAACATGAAGGCAGGAAAAGATGAACAAGTACATAAGTCAGCACTGAAGTACTCCCACTGAGACAGAGCAATGCCTATCCA